TAGAACAGGTCTTCAGCGACCCATGCTTGCTGTAAAATGCGACTATGCTTGTCGTAAAAGGCAACTAACGCGATGGGGTGGTCTGGCTCGCTGACTTGGTTGATGGATGTCATCATATCCCAGTTGCATGGATTGATGATCATGATGTCAATAACTGGATTGTCTGGTCCCGATTATTTACAGACCGCGAGTGCGGCGTTTAACAACAAACAAACAAACAAAACATAAACAAAACTGTCCTGGGCTTGCGGTCTTGTGCTATTTTCTATCCCTGGTGTTTTGTAGTAAGGCAGGTAGGGACACCAACTGTTCCCCATATCTGTGGATATTAACTTTTAACAGATGTGATTCAGGTAGATTAGGAATATGTGGTATGTTTCATCTGCAGGTACGGTACTTTGGAGTAATAAATTACGTGAGGTAGAGTGTTTGGAAGTAAGGCGTTTGGGGATTATTACCATAGTCATCATAATATATAAATCTCCATTCAACGCATCATAACTTTGCCTGAAGTTGTATTTCTATGTATATAACTGCTTCTCTGTGTCCTACCTCTAGTTAATGGTCAATTTTTATTTTTGTAATGATATGCTTATGAACTAAGTTTGATAATTGCCTAGCACTGTAATGATGCTGAGATTCTTAATGGTAGCTGATTAAGACACCTTTCTGATATGTTATCTGACAAAGGAATTGTGAGTATTTCATACATAATCGAGTTCCTTTTGATATTCCTTTGATAATGCTTGTTTTCTTCATCAAGCAGGCCACATTACACAGTCAGTTGATATACCAGCATTGAAACCTGGATCACAGCCACATTCTCCTCATACGACACCTTATTAATTTTTCAGTTTTTGTTTCAACTCACTGGTGCCAAAAAACTCAATCAGTAAATAATATAAGAATTTTTTATTCCCCAATTGCTTTAACTTTGATGAATTAGAAAAAAGATTCAAAATCTAACAAAAGGTCATTCAGTGTAGTTAACTTTTAAATTTTTATTGATCAAATGCATTTATATTATCTGGCAACTACAAACACCTTGTGAGGACTTTCTCGTCAGGGAATACATCTGTAAACATATTAAACATTTTGCACTTAAATATATTTTTTTCCCTCTTATCAGACCCACCTGAACAACTTATGATCAATGAAATTTAAAAATGTTACATTTATGTTTGTTTTTGTATGACTAAACCTAAACTTTGATAGTTAGCAAAAATCTGTGAACAATATGTGTTGATGTTGATTGTTGTTTAATGCTGCACTCATATCCCAGCTATATGAAGGTGGTCTGAAAATAATTGATTCTGGACCAGACAATCCATTGATTCAGACATCATCAGCATCGATGTTTCGTAATTGGGATATGATGACATGCATGAACAAAGTCAGTGAGCCAGCATAGTCACCCTGTGAATAATATAATACTGTGGCCTTACTTCGATAGCAGACCCGTGAAGATCCTGGGTAGAATAGTCTTCAGCAACCCATGATTGCCGTAAAAGGCGACTATGCTTGTGGTAAGAGGCCACTAAACGGGATCGGGTGGTCAGGCTCGCTGACTTGGTTGATGCATGTCATCGATCCCAATTGCATGGATCGATGCTCATGATATCAAACACTTGATTGTCTGGTCCAGACTCGATTATTTACAGACCGCCGTCATATAGCGAATATTGCTGAGTGCGGTGTTAAACAACAAACCAAACCAAACTTTGATAGCTGAAAATATGCATAACCTACATCTCCCAACTCCTTGAAAACATTCTTGTTATTAGAATCAAGAGAAAAGAAGATTGATTGGTCACAATGTAGGACATGACTGATTGTGTGTGGGTTGTTCCTTCAAGGTGCTGTCAAGCGCTGGTGTGCCTGGATCAGAGTTGGTCATTATTGCTTATGTGATATTGAGTAAAACAATACCCACTCACTCAATGAAATAATATTGCTCTTAGTAACCATGAATGGGTCCCCTTTGGGTCAAGCTTCTCCAAAGAAACTCACACCTTTAGAATCTGTATTAGTCTATCTCACAGTCCCTGAACCATATTATTTTCCCTTCTGCCCAGCCCTTACTGTAATGCTGTAGCTTTGAAAGAAGCAAGTTCAGATTTTCCAAAGGTTCAGCTTCTGAATCTACCATCTCACTGGGGCTCCCTTTCAATTTAAATGTAGCTGCTTGTTTCTGTCAAAGTTGTTTTTTTAGAGACTATGTGTTAGTCTAAAGTCTGTATGTTTGCCAGGAATTTGCTGACGCTTGTAGTTACAATAACTGGAATCGATTTTAGGTAACGTGACTTTAAGAAGAGACCCATTTTGGTTACTTTATGTGATAAACAGACCTTGTTAGTGTCTGTGGTAAAGACAGAGACATGATGGTAGTGCCCTGGTGCTCTTGTTTGAAGACCCATGAAGATCTGAGTTCGAATGTGTATCAGTAACCCATGCTTGTCATAAGAGGCGACTAACAGGATCTGGTGGTCAGTCTCGCTGATTATCTTGCAAATCAGTAGATTGATGCTCATGATGTCAATCACTGGATTGTCTGGTCCATTATGTACAGACTGCCGTCATATGGCTGGAATGAGGCTGAGTGCAGCGTTAAACAACAAACAATATCTTGTTTTGAGATAAGTTATGTGGTAGGGGTCAAGGTAACAACAGTCGGTGTTTATTTAGGATAGTGTGACTTTAAGTAGAGCCTTTTTGAAGATGTTAGTCTCTTCGGTTCCAAATAGATTGGATGTTAGAACAGGGATGGTCTTGTTTTGAAATAGAAGTAGGTTCTGTGGTAGGGACAGAACAACAGGTGGTATGTTATAGTTCCTTACCCAGACTGAGAGGTTCTAGTGGATGAACACTCAAGCAGGGGCAGACTTGTACACCGAGGTCACACTGTGGCTGTACAATGCATATACTCAGGTTGTCATCAACTTGAACCTCAAGGTCAAGTTGGTAACTCATTTACACACTGGCAGAGAATAGTAAACGTTCCTGTTCATCTGTACCTCAATGAATACATGGGCACGTGCGACGTCCATTGTAGGCCTGGGAACACCTGGGAGAACAATAGTGCTTGTGTGTAAATACTACTACAATAGGAATGGACTCTGAAGAGTGCAGCAATGAGGAAAGTTCTAGTTTTAATTCTAGAGGTATGTTCAGGTGACATGGGGCTGACTATACCATGAACCAGCATCTATTTTACCTTGTGATGATTCCTGGCAGACTAGGTCCTCAGTACGCTGTGTAATTATCTAGACTGTTCAAGTGACCAAGAAGTCTCTTTCACCATGAGTATGTGTATTGGCCAATTAAAGTAACATTAAGACTTTTAAATCACTAGGAATAAGATCATGTTTCATAGGGCTGATGTTGCTGTAATGAAGTATTTAAAATGAAGTCGGATTGTCTGAGATTTGTAAAATTCTGAAACTACTCATGGACAACCACTTTTACCTTGAGGTGCATTGCATCTCTGAAGCAGATCAATTTTGAGAACTGGTGAAAAAACAACCTTAATTTCTAATCCTGTTTATGAGCTTGTGAGCGTCAGCTCTTTATTCTCAAGAGTCATTGATGTCAGGTTGTCAGTTTTAAAAAGTAAATTAATATTCAGTGTTTGAAATTGATGATTCTCCTGGGGTTCTCGAGATTTTATGGTATGGTATTTGAATCTAGGGACCCCCTAAATCTTTCTCTTTAAGTTTGGGTTCTGACAAGGTAAATTTAGACCAATGATGTTATTCTGGAAATGTTTTGAACCTCTGACCATATAAAATGTTTTCTAGTCTGGTTAATTTTTCCTATCAAACTAAGTGACCATTTGAAATTCATTCAATTTGTTGAAACTTAATAAATGGAAACACCATGCCAAATCTGCAACATTTATCAGTTTTGTGACTGGGGTGTAATTTGTATTTCAATTCTTGAAAAAAATCCACAGTACAATCAGCTTCAGTGGATAATGGTCTGTGCTCGATGCGTCAGTGCTTTGTATTTATATCTGGAATCTATGTGCCCTTTACCGTTGATATTATGTAAATCAAGAATTTAATAAATTGTGGTGAGTCTTTATTGCAGCCAAACCCTATCGTGATAAATAATGCATACAATTAATTTTGTGAGACTGAAATCCAGAAGGTCAGTGCCATAAAGTGATAAATGTGCTGGAGAGAATATTTGCATTAACGTCAGAATTGATAGGCAAGGGAAATTATTCTGTTTAGTACAGGTTAATCCCATGTACTGGTCTCCCAAACTCTTCAGTCACTGAAGAGTTAATTAAGGTTATTTAAGAAGCATTAAATCAGTGGATTGTTCAAGGTTCAAGCTTAATCATTGTAATTATGGTCTGTATAAGGTCTTTTCCATACATTATGATGTATTTCAGTCCTAATTTAGGTATGTTCATGTCAGTGAATCACACTTTTCATTGACCATGGCCCTAATTCATCCTGGCGGTAGCACACTGGTACAGGGTGCTGCCAGGATCTGCTAGTCTGGGGTTGAATCACAGAATGGCCTTGTTTATGATCCTCTGTTTGTCTGGTTGTGGTGGTTGTGTCCCGGGATGATGATAATTCTGTAGATGATGATGATGATGATGATGATTTCTTTATGACCTGGCTGATTCTGTGTCATATACTGACGGGGTGGATGGCTGCTCATGCCACCGCTTACTATAGGCCAGATTCTGATAGAATTTGGTCAAGATGCAATTCATAATATAGCCAACAGGTTAAGTTGAGAGGGATGATATTTCTTTTGTTGTCATGGAACATAACTGAGTTCTTCACTAAGCAATTTCATGACGATGTGCCTGACCTTTTTCCATGCACACATCTCCCTTCAGTAAGCTCCCTTCAGTAAGCTCCCTTCAGTAATCTCCCTTCAGTAATCTCCCTACAGCTACAACAAGGTGTCAAGCAGCTTGTAATTCACAATTATCAGAGTTCTGCAATGTATAACTAATATGTTTTTTCTTGTTGCAGATGCAAAGAGTTACCAAAGATAAGTGTCTGGATATTATCAACAAATTTGAACCTTCAAAGGAGGGACGAAGGAAAGGACAACTTGGCATTGATGGTAAGGCCATTTTGTGATCTGGGTGCCTTGTGCAAAACAACCTTAGCACTACCGCTGTCGTAAGTCTATGTAAAGGTATGGGAGTTACCTTAGTGCTAAGATTGCTTTGGTACTTGGTGTATAAGGCATTGTCAAACACTGTACAAGTACATCACCACATACACACACCCTTTCTTCCTCCACCTCAAATCCCTCCCTTCTCCACACAGAACCCTCATTTCCCTACCCTCCTAATCTGAAGGTCTTCAATCATGCTCATCCATGACCCACCCACACCACTCCAACCTACGCCAATAGTCCCAGTAATTTCATTCTTAGTCCTATTTTTTGCCCCACTCTTCGTTAATAATCGTACACAATAAAACAAAGTGGCCAACCACCTCAAAGCTTTACCAGCATGTTTTCCTGCCAATTATCGGAAACCATCTCCTCCTTGACGTCAGAACCTAGATCCCACATGTTGAAGGTAATGCTTGCTATGACACTGCATCTTCAATCTTTCACTTACCATGTGGACTAAGACACAGCAACTCGGCAAGAATGACCTTCGCATTACCCAACCAGTGACATTTCTCCATTCAACTTATTGCTTCAACCTTTATGCTGCCTTTATGCATCATTTATAACCGGATCACGATTCAGTATTTCCTGCAAATTTTAAATTGGTTGTCATTTACTTGCACAAGTCACTTGCAGAAAAAGAAAATGTAAAACATTTCTTCTTGATTATATGACGTGGATGAAGAAGAAAAATTCCATCACCAATTTTTTGGTGTTACATGACCGAAACTCGATCAGCTTGAGTCCTGTGTGTTAATATTGACTACTCATTGTCGTCGGGTTTTGTTACTTATATAATGACATTCTGTATGTCTTTTGAGTGGATGATCAGTGAGGAGTTTAAGCTATTGATGGTGACAAATGATCTCCTTGTGACAGGGTTGCCTCAGTTGGCCATGCCGACATTGTCACCTTGAGGATGGAGACTGACATGGCCATGGTGTTGCAAGTGGATGTTGATGGCACTGAATGACAGGTTGAGGTGTTTTTACAAGCCCTTGGTGCCAGAGCTAATTTTAAATGACATGGTGGTGGTATTCTATTGATTCTCTCAGCTAATTTCAGATGTTGAATGATGGAGTTGAGTAGCGTAAGCGTTCAGATGGCGAGGATGAAGATGATGGTTTTGGAGATGTAGCCATCATGGTTGCTGATGCTAGTCCCCTCCTTTCTACCATGTGTGGGGTATCCTGTGGGTGCTCTCTTGTATGCTTGAATCAGTTATGTTCATTTGACGAGAAAGCTTTATCAGACATATGACAGAAATGGAAAGTTTAACTTGGGACATTCTCTCATGGCTGGGAGAAAGTGGTTTGTTTCCCAAGTTTCCATGATTTTTTTTGTTGAGTTTAATTGTGTGCATCCCGAGTGCATCCCGGGTGCTTACCCGTAGGGCAGGACATGCTTACCCTTTTCACAAGCACCTGACCCAGCAACCCATTCAAATAATTTTCATCACTATTTTGCCTTTTCCCCCCAATGGAATCTGTTGCACAAAACAATAATATTTGTACTTATATTGCACTAAATTCCTCACACAGGTGTATGCTCAAAGTGCTAGCATTATTACCCCAGTCAATGAATGAGATGCACTTGATTTTTTTTTTCATTCTGAGCTCCCGGGGGAGTATACAACCCAAGCTGCCTGTGAGGCGCTAGGAGGTAGGCGGACACATTATCTTCTCAGGATATTAAATATAAAACATAATCAAGACAGGTTATTCTCTGGCATTGATGGTTTCTATTTAATATCCTGTTGTACAGACTGTTATAGAATCTTTCAGAAGTATCGTCAAAGCCAGCTTATCTGCCTCCTCCATACTGTCAGTTATTCAGTCTTTGCTCCTGGAGCTGTAAAGCTGAATTATGTTGTGTAAATGGGGTTGATGGGATATCGTATTGTTGTCACAGCTCCCAGAAAGTTTGCATCATACATCTTCAGGTTCATTATCAGCTTTTCAAAAAAGAATGTAATATGTTTATGATATGCTAATATTTCATTTGTTAATGTTTGCACTGGTTTGTTACCTTGTAGATTTTTTGAAAGACATATTCATAAAAAAATGGAACTTTAAAAAGTGTCATAAAAGTACCTTGAATAGTAGAACCATATTAACCAAACCTGGTACGTGTTCTAAGAACTGACTTCAATATTTATTTGTGTTTATGCCAGTATAAATGTGGAAAAAAAGGTGTGCTTGCTATGCAAAGTGTGCACACAGGTTTTTACGTTAATGACTCCATAAAGGCAAAATTCTTTCAATTCTTATAGATAAATACCTCAACAATAATATCTTCACCAACTGTTTATTTAATCATTAACACACACAAAAGTGTAGACAGCAATACGAAGTAAGTGACATGATCAGCGCTATAATCCAACTGCCCTTTACATTAACAACTAATCAAAACACAGTAGCCCATTAGTGGGCGTATCCTATTTATTTTCTTCTTTTTTTTAAACCATTAACGCAAATGAAATTGCATGGTTCGCCCACCAAATGCCACGGGATCACTTGCGATTTATTAATACCAGAATAACAGTAATTTTCAGCAATTGATATTGATATTGTTCCATTCACACACAATCAACACATCAACATATGCACTGTGTACATTAGTTCCACAAAATACATGAAATGTTTGAGAAAATTTCTTCCAAATGATGGCCCCAATCATCTTTAGAAAGCCGATGCAGCCTGAGGTATGGGGACTCTACCTCCTTCACGGCGAAGACGCAGAGAATGCGTCCTCCAATGGATGTCTGATTTCTATGCCGACAGTGCAAACAGGCCGAGCCAGAGGCACCACACATTTGTACCATGCCAACTCAGTGGTAGTCGCAGGCAATTGTAGACCCATTGAGCTGTCATGATTAGTTCTGTGATGGGATATTGCCATAGGTTCCACATAGTCGTGATAAAATGTGTGCTGATAGGGGAGCGTGGGTAAATACATCCCAAATAAGTCCTAACGGTTGTTGAATTGATTTGATGTTCTGATGTTGTCAGATGTAAGCTTGATGTGGTGTAGGAGATCTCCGACTTTTGGTTGAAACCTGGTCAGATTCCCAAATCTGGGTGTGGAGAGATGGACACTAGGAGAGGAAGAATCATTGCCTGCCTTTCTAATAATGCAGTAGTTATAATGAAGGGAAGAAACTTAAATGTGTTTGACATTGATCGGAAGCTGATGTGCATAAATACAGCAAGTACGGTATACTTTATATCAGTTTTATAAAAGGAAATTGTAGAATAGGAAATTGTAGAATTTAAGGTTGTGGTATAGGTGTTTGTGTCGCAAACAATACTGTCCACAGGTGATTGAATAAATAAGATAACAGGCTAGTACAGAGGTGGTTTAGAAAGGCTAGCTATGTCATGGCTTTTTAGCTGGAATGGCTGAAAACATCAATAGCTTCTCTCTCACAGGACCCAATCAACATCAGTTGACTGGCACAAGTAAGGTCACAGGGACCATCCATTGTGTGCAATGAGCCAATGACCCAGCCAGACTTCCGGGTGCTGACCAGAATTCTCAAGAAGCGGGTTTTGGTATCGCACTCTGTAGTCTGTCTGTTATTGAGGTGAAGGGTCCATGTCTGGGAACTTTGTACTAATCGTTTATTGAAGATTGGTCAGATGTGAAGTATGTTGACGATTTCCGTGTTGGTATGGCCTTGTTGAAAGCGAGACAGCGTGAAAGCTTCTGTTGTCCAACACTGGTTCTAATTTGTGAACATTAATAAAGCTCTGGTCCTGCCAGATCCGTGAGAGGTTTAATAGGCGAGTGAGAAGAAGGCTGAATGTAGGAATATTATATACAGACACACGTCTGCTTGATGATCCTGAAGGGTTTATGGCAGTGCTGGAGATGTCACATGTCTCCGACTTCATTTGTCTGGACAGACGACCAGACAGGTCAGTCTTGGAGTGGCAGCACCTGGATATTGATATCCTATATTTGTGGACGTCAGTGTCTCCACTTGACCTTTATAGATAATTGCTACTGACCCCCACAAGTTCTCCTGCCACAGCTTTCTGTTCAAGCATTTAAAACTTGAATTTCTATTTATCATTATTAGAGAGGGCAGGACATGTCTACCCTTTTCAAAAACACCTGGTGTCATCACTGATTTTAAGCGTCCCATTCAAATAATTTTCATCACTATTTTGCCTTTTACACCCAATGGAATCTGGTGCGCAAGATAATAATATTTGCACTTATATTGCACTAAACTCCTTACACAGGTGTATGCTCAAGCGCTAACATTATTACCCTGGTCAATGGATCAGATGCACTTGATTTTTTCATTTTCAGCTCACCGGGGGTTATGGGAGATTTGTAAACTTCTAAACTCTCCAGTGAAAGATACAAGATTTTTAAGCTAAAATTTACAGCAATTAGGATGTGTGATTTATGAACAATCGAAACTTGACACATCTATGCCAAGATGAAGTCAAATAACATAATCTTCTACGACTCAATAGTCACAGGAAATGGATTTTGTATACAGCGAAAACCACTTCAATGAAGTTAGTTATTTTCTTAGTGAAAGCATCCAGATTAACCATCTTCAGAATTAACGAGGTAATGTGTATGGAGCTTGTGGACAGTAATCGTGGATGAAGGTCAGGTTTCCAGATAAACAGGGTTTAGTTTTACATGTTTCAGTCTGCTGCTTGATTTTGACAATGCAGCTTGGGTCCACGTCTCTCCCACAGACACCAGAGCATATATTTAATAAAACATTCATCACCCATTCCACTCTAGGTACCTACACTCATCTCTTCCTCAGCAGCAGGAATGAAGACACTTGAGGATTCCTTAATACTCAGGGCTTCTTTATACAATTATATAATTTCTATTTGACCTTTATACATAAGTTTATTTTGGAGACTGTTTGTCTACTGTAGTGCTAGCTAAGCCAGACTGCAACT